GGAGGTTGCTGGGTAGAGGGTGCCTGCTTCTCTTTATATACATCTCTTTTACTAGTTATGCAAAGTTATTTGAAGTTGATTTTGATAGGCGTTGTTGATTTTGATCGTCGTCGTCGGCGGCGGCGATGCTTGCGACAAACGTCAGTGCTTGGCCCCACCCCACCCACCCGAAAAAAGCATGGTGCTGTTGGCACTCACAACCCATTTGGCCCCCCCCCCGACCACAGCCGAAACAACACAGTGTTGTTGGCAGTCACAACAAACGTCGCCACTTGGCCGCCCCCACCCACAACAAACAGCCTCACCAGAAGCGTGACGCAACACTTTGTTTGTTTTGGATGATGGCAGTTACCTGACCTCGAGTCTTCCCCACTGTGACACTCAGACAATTGCACTCACTCCAAACAGCAAGAGGCTGCCTGATGACAATCGCATCCGCTGCATTTTTCTTTTGTCTGAGGTGTGGCTGTTTTGTTGCAGTTGATGTTTTGTCCTGCGTTATTTTCCATCCCTTCGAGCAATTGACCCGGCGTATTTCAGTCTTTACATTCGGTTCCTCCCTGTCATATCCTCATTGACCTACGGACGACCTAGCAGACCTGGCGGCACCGTTTTCCAGCTTTTGCCCACCGTTTTCGTGCTCCAAAAACACCTGGCGGGCTTTGGAACGGTTATCTCCAAGATGTGCTTACGGGGTCCCGGTAGTGTGGAAAGTCTTTGTAAGGATCTCCTAGGTGCGTTTGCTTCGGAAAATGCCTCCCATCCAAGCTCTCCTTGGGCGCCTAGCTCTCAGCACACCGGTGCATCCGCCACGCCGGACCAGCGCTTTCGGTGCCGCTTTCGCGGTGCCATCCTCGCAGTGGCCGATGCTGAGGAGATGTTTTTCAGCGTCATGAAACACTTTCCAGAGGCTCCTTGTAGCGAGGTGGAGGACTATCCGCCCATCCAATACGTGCTGCGGAGTGCGCATAACCAGACCTATACCCTCGAGGCAGATGGGGAGGGGAGGGATCTGTGAATGCAAGGAGGTGGAGGGCAGTGGAGGGGTGTGGGGATTTGGATGGATTTGCCGTGGTGGACGTTTGGGTCGAGGGCCTTGCGCCAGGAGCTCCTGCGTTCCGATGTCAAACTCATGGGGTGGACGGCATCACTCGGTGTCGTTCAGACCGCCCCGAACGCCGGAAGGGGCTCCGATGGAGCGCCCCACGAACTGCATGGGTCCTGGATTGGAGGTTCCTCTGGGGTCCTGGGTGATTGATGGATTTGGATGAACTGAAGTGACGAGAAGAGAGAGGAAGGACCTGTTTGGGTCGATTGGGCCTTCCTTGGGGTTTTCCCTTCTCTCATGTCCACCTACCGAGTGACCTGGACGTCGGCCTTCCTCGGACGTCGGACGCAGGTGGGCCAGGACACCTACATGGCGCCTGGGCTTCGATGTGGGGAGGTTTCTATACTAACACCCTCCTGGCCAGGTGCTTCCTGGTGACAACAGGTGCTTCCTGGTGACAACCACCTGTGGTCAGGTCTCCAAACAGCCTGGCCAGGAGGGTCCTGGTATATAAGGCGTCAGATGTGGAGTGCAGTTGAGATGTCTTGAGTCTGTGAGGGTCTCTTTTGCAGATTTGGGCGTCCCAACAGATGCAAAGGAACCGACCCCGCCGTCTCCGAGGCTCGGGTTCTCGCTGTCTCGCTGTCTCGCTGTCTGCCGAGGTCATGGACGAGAACGACTCCTGCCGACCGGCCTTTATGAAGTTGGACATCAAGCGGAAGTCCTATGGCCCTGCCATGATCCTCGGAGAGGCCCCAAGAAGACAGACTGGTCCGTGTGGAAGAGGTGGGTGCAAGATGGTGTATGTGTGTGGGTGGGGGGGGGGGGGGGGGGGGGCTTCTGGTCAAACCGGGGTCCCAAACCGCTGGAGGCGCTCGGATCTTGAGAGGGTCTGCTCGCCGGACCGTCGACCGGTCGCCAGGTGTTCATGCGGCACTTCTTCACGGTCTTCAGCCGAGGGGTTTCTTGGCGTTGGTCGGTGGAGGTCGTGGCCAAACGGCCAAGGCGGACTGGCCAGAGTTCCAAGGGGTGCAGATGTCATGGACTTGTGATCTTCGTTTTGTTGAACTATGAGTGAGAGACCAATGCTCAAACTTCCAGGATTTTGGAGCTATGCATGTGATACGAACAGCCCGGATTTGGGAGATGGATTGCGGATCCCATGGCCTTTAGCGGCCGATGCCGCTGTCGTGGGGCCCGGACCGGACCCACTGAGAACGGAAGCCTGGAGCAAGCGAAGGTGGGCTTCGCGAAGGCGAAGGTGGGTTCCTGGGTCTGCACCGAGCCGACTGGAAACGGGAAGATGACCGACGTATCGGCGTGGTGGTCACCAGGATTTGGGCCGATTGCGGGGTGTTGAGGGTTCATGCTGACGTCTCCGGTCTCCTCCCCCTCTCCTTCTCCGGCGGAACAGGGCGACGGTCAGGGCTCTGAGGTGTTGAGAGGTTACGCCAGACATGCAGGCGTCTGCACCATGTCTGCACTGACCCAGGACCAGTGGATCACCATGATCACCTGCAAAAGCATGCAAACGCCAGGCTTATGGGAATGGGATGATGGAATGGGTATTCCCACTGAAATCCAACAGGTGGCCAGGTTCGGTCAACCAATGCTTCAATCGTCCAAAGGAAACGGCTCAAGGGGTCGGAAAGCTGGAGATCTTCCGGCTTTTCACCCTTTGAGGAGGTTTCTGAGAATTGGATCTTGACCCTTAAGACATCGATCCAACGCTTCGATGTGAACCTTTGGGGCGCTTCATCCCAACCTCTCATCCCAGTCTCCTCCGGCTGCTGGTCTCCGATCTCCGGGCTTCGCCCCGTGGGCGTGCCGAAACCGAAGCGGGACCGGTGGGGTCGGTGAGTGGCTGAGGCGCCCAGCCCAAATTGAAGCAGTCCGAGCAGGCGGGGTGTGGGGTCGGGGTCAGCGGGGTGTGGAAGGTAGGATCTTTCTGCGAGTTTTGGTTTGTTGGCGTCATTCTGTAGATTGTTCTTGGTTCTTTGGAATTCTTTGGCTGGTCGCTGCCAGTGAGCAGATGCGGTTTGGGTATTGAATACTGTATCAATCTGCATATTATATAATGTAATTATGCCACATACAAATCGCTTTTGTCCAAGGCTCCTTGCGCAGATGCAACCTGCCGGGTGAAAAATCAAATGAACGAGGACTATTTTGGGAGTTGTCGGGTATGGTAATGAGTCATTCTCAAAAAGTGTCAAGTAGATAGTAGGTAGTTGGCAATCTTAAAACTGATGGAGAAATTGCACCAACACGTTGCAGTTGTTGTATGATGTTGTTGAGTGTTCCCAAACTCTTTCACTTGAGAATGGCTTTTCGTTTGTCGCATGAAAACAGTGGAGATATGACATTTGTGTCGAGGATGGACCAAATCTCTTGTAGGAATCTCATGGAATCTCTAGGGGATGACGATGATCACCCCGCCCCCCCGAAACCACCTTGGCAGTGCGCAGGAACCCTTTCTAGGCAGGTGACCTGCCCATCCAATCCTCGACAGTTGGCCTCCATGTTGGTTCGGGAGGCATCCTACCTCCAAGCGCAGGCGAGGGCGTTTGATGGCGTGCGGGTGGGGTGAGTTGAGTCAGTGGACGAAGCTGAACACGACGAAATCTGCCATCCAAGGGGGCACCCCCGAAATCTGCCGCTTGAAAGCTGCAAAGCACGGGCATCGGCGCGCACGGTGCGCATCGAAAGACAGAAGAAGAAACCTCTCAGAGCCCCATACGTTGCCGTATACAACGTAGCGGAGACCTGTGTTTTTTGGTAAGCAGTCGCTTGGTGTGCCTTGTGAAAAGAATTGATCGATAAAAGCATCCGAGCTGGCGATCTCATGAGATGTCCGATTTCCGAGCTAGAGCCCCTTGCATCAAAGAATGACCAAAGCTCGACCTTCCGCGTTCTGAGGATGGCGTACGGGGATGGCGAACAGACCAGTGTGTGTCCATGACCTGTAACAGACCAGTATGTAACAGTCAAAAAAAAACAACATATCACTATTTGTTGAGAAAGGCCTTCACTAACTATCATCATCAAATTCATCATCATCATCATCATCATCATCATCATCATCATCATCATCATC